ACGCACGACTCGGAGCGGTTATACAAACTGCACCGGGCGTATCATTTTTCGCCCGAAGACTTGCCCGACGAGATTCGTGGCCAATTACCATTACCTGCTGACAGAGATGAGAGAGAGCTGGGAATCCACTGTCCGAATCCCGGAGGACATATCGAAATGTTCATGCACTGGGTTTTCCGACTAGGCTCGGCCTTCCCGCCCGGCCATGTCGGCCAAGACCGCCTGGTCGCCTTTCTAGAGGCGCTGCGTGATCTACCAAGACATGAAATTGTCACTATAGTATCACCCTCGGTAGCATCGTCCTCGGACGATCAAATCGAGCAGAACATGTACACGACTCTAGAAGTGTGGCCGATGGGGGGTGATTGGTTGCTCCTGCAGATGGCGGCTCATTATGAAGAACAGGGTATTCCTTCTTTTTTGTTCCCCCTCCGATCAATTCCCTATCTTTCTGCCTAGCTAGATCAAAGTAAGAACTCCTGGCTAACCTCCGTCTCTCAGTCTACTTATACCGCCTTTATGCGGCTACGCGACTGCCCCCTACCGAGATAGATCTCCGGCTGCGGAACTTCCAGTCTGCCATCGCGCGCATGACGGCACTGAATCTGGTTGATTGCGGATGGCTCTCTTCGTTGGAGGGCATTCTTCCTTCGCACCCCTGGTACCCTGATCTGAATGATCCCGAGAGTCAAGGGTCTGGCAAGGATCAGGGGTTTCGATGGCTTGCTGGTTGGATCATTGCAGGTGTGCAGTGGCTGCTTCGTGCTGAAGTGGGGCGTTATGTCTATCAACAGTGTCGGAAGAGGGAGAAGATTGTCGAAAGGTCGGAGATGTGGAGTATGGAGCGGTGGCAGCAGTGGAAGGACCAATTTGCATTCGCCGCAAATGAGGTACGGGTTGGCGTACATGCTCAGGAGCTGGCACGGTTGGCGCTTGAGAAGATGACTGAGTATGAGGGTGGAGGTGCTACTGCGGGGGGAGATTTGTGAGGTATCTCGATATGAGCAGTAAGGGTCGGCAAAGTGCACTACCATGTCAAACCACACCTTTGATGCATTGAGTTCTTACATATTTTTCGTCTTATGTCTGTGGAGGTAAGTTGCCTTCGAGCCTTTCTTAGGACTTAAATTAATATCTTCTTTATACTCTTACATACTGCGTCATGGCCGCCTCTAGCTTTATTTCCGTAGATATGGTAAATAAGTATAATTAACTCTAAGACAAATTGATGATTACAAACTAAAATCTTGGACACCTGTCTCTGGAGACCTCTTTGACCTAGGTGGTCGGAGTACTCAGCCCTCTCGCGCCGCATCTCTCGCGCCGCGCAATAATGCAATGCCGTCGACATCCTCCTAACTTTTTCGAGCTCGAATAGCCTTATGCCTCCCACAGAGAGAACTCACACTCACTCATTGATGCCACTCCACAAACAATGTAATGACCTCCTAGATATCAGTGCCGCATCTTCCCCCCCAACAGACAAACCGGAAGCCAATGAAACTCCCCTCTCTCTTCTTCTTCATCTCTGGGCTGTTTCCGCATGACATCCTCATGCAACGTCACCAGCCCGGCCAACCACTCCTCCTGACTCGGCACCGAAGGCGCCACCGCCCGTAGCTTATCCAACACAGCACTGCTATTCTCCAATGCCAACATGAAGGTATCCGTGGCGAGGGGAATGAGCTGTGGGGTCGCCCAGGGGATCTGCTGCCGGCACTCGACCACCTCCAATGTCTCGGCATTGTCGTCTAAGACAGTGGTTTGGATGTGGTGGGCGAGGCTCTCGAGCCATCTAGAAGGTTCCCATATCAGTCTTGATAAATAAATTCTCTTGAGGATAATTTACGGCATAATGCAGAGTACCGAGGTAAGGGCCGAGAAGCATTCAAATGAAACCAAACGGAAGAGAATCTCACCGGAAATCATGCCCGGTCACCACCGTCTGCCGGTTCATCAATTCCCGGAATCGCTGAGCCGGAAGACCACGCTGCACGATACTGCCAAATCGAGCGTCTTCCCATTGGATATAGCCACCTGGTTCTGTTCGTCCTTTCGTGTTAGTTTCTTTGCGTCCTTGTTGAATGTTTTTTTTTCTGCATGATTTTCTTTCTTGTTTTTCTTTTTCTTGTTCGCCTGAATCCAAAGTAATATGAACATACTCAGCAATCTCGAAGCATGCCGAATCAACGCACTCGGATCGTTGTCGCGGATAATGAAGGCCCACATGCGCAGATGCACCACGTCGAACTGACCGATTAGGGCTTCCGGGATCGTCGGGCTGAGCGAGTCGAGCAGCTCGAAGCGCACATTCGCGGGCCAATACTCCTTGGCCGGAAAGTGCGTGTCGGCAATGTCGTAGGCGACGATGCGAGCGTCTGGGGAAAGGTTGGGAGCAAGTTCCAAGGGCCCAGATTCTGGATTCTGTTTAGTTTTGAGGAGGCTAGGCTTTGGGGAAGACGAAGAAAGGTTCCTTACCCCGTTCCGGCTCCAATATCGGCTATCGCCATTCCATCTTTGCGGGGAATCTCTGGGTGCAGGAGATATTTCGTGTGCAGCTGCCACAGGAGGTGTTGCGCGTCGAGGCTGAAAAGTTTGTGGGAATTAGCTGGGAATTATCAGAGGAGAATAGTGGATAAGAAAGAATAGATATTATGAGTGGGTGTAGGCCTACCGAACTGCTTCAGATCGATCGCGTCGCAAGAGATAGGTGGTGGGGGAAGGGGTCGTCATGGTTAGATCATTTACTGTTGCTCTAAGAACCTTGGATTCTGTCAGTCGGAGGAGGGAAGTGAAGGAATCTTTCTCCTTCTTAAAGAAGAAATAACCACATACAATACATAAACTTTGTAAACCCGATACATCCGCAGTAGCCTTCAATCTCGGGTAGGCACTCCGTAACATTGGATTGCCGATCGACCCCCGACTAGTTTTCTAGCTAGTGCTTAACCTGACACCGCACCCAAACCCCTTATCACGATGGTGCCATGTCACCATTGTGGGACGCGGTCTTAGTCTGCACCAAATAGTCTTGTTGGACATTGATCCCCGCTTGCATCGGCACCCCGGCCCCGTAGTGTTCATCCTCCTCTGTAAACAGCCGCCATTAACCCTTGCCGACGGATTTCGATCGGCTGCTGGGCCACGATCTGCTCTTGCCCGCCTGGAGACTGAACAGAGCGCTCGGCAACCCCATCTGGGTTCGGAGATATGTGTACAAAGGTCGCAGGCATTGGAGGCACGCTGGTGGTTGTGAACATCACCCTCCGGGCTTAGCCAGCGTAGGAGCGAGGGGGAGAAAGGTGTGTATGTAGGCAGTAGACTTATCAGCAACTGTGCCAACATTCAACTCGACACACGTCCAGATCAGGTACTGTACAAAGTTGCAGGTAATGTCCTCCGAGCTCAGGTCGACCCTCAGCAGGCACAAGCCGGATTATGGTAGCGATGCAGTCAGCGCTTAGCGCCCCCCTTCCCCTATCCCCCAAAACCCCTCATCAAATTCGGTAACCACTCTGGAACAACAACGTACAATCCACCCACGAGGAAGATTAACGTAACCACGACCTTCTGCATTCGGTTGGTGTGCAGTTGCCAGATCGGTTCTAGCGGAATAGCCAGTATACACAGATCTGTGACCGTGTCTGGGATGGACTTGCCCAGAAAATAATCCCGGCTACTGATCCAACATTTGGCGGGAATAGATTTACCCCAGTAACCCTGCAAGGGGATGCACTGGAGGCAAACAATCAGAACCTGGCGGCACGAGACAAAGGAAAAAGGGATTGGCTGATCAGCACGCAAGTCGATGAAAGGATCATGACATACACAAACGAGCGCCCAGGCGGACACAACCACGGCCACTCCCACTGTAGCGTGCATAACATAGGGAATTTGAAAGACCCCTCGGTGCGATAACACATTGAAAACTTGATAGCTACCGTGGTGGCCACATATCCAAATTCTGCAATGACCAGCGCTTTAGGAAAGGTCGGGACGGAATCAGCGGGGGCCACCCATACATGTAGCCCTAAACCATGTTGGGTATCTGTACGAAGGTGATGGATGAGCAAACAGTAATTTGTAGAAGTAAGATAGCGGAATGAGAAAGCCTACTCCAGGCACAAGGTAGCAGGGACAGAATTTCCCCGAACACCCGTAGTCTACGAAGTTGGAATTTCGTCGTATCAAATGGAATTGTAAGGAAGAAGGGGCATTCTATAAAACAGTGATGAAAAAACCACTCAATCATCCCACGACGTGGTCGCCCAATGCAGTCGGGCTGGGACGGTGATGGTGCATGGGCGATTTGTGCAATTTACGCAGTACCCAAGTCTCTAGAAAGATCAAGCTGGATGGGGAGAGTTGATATCGGAATATTTATGCACCGAGTGTGACCTTCTTCCTTTGTTTTCCCTTCTTTTTTCTTCAGGAGGACCTAAACAAGTGAAACTCTGTAAAGAGGGACCACAGTTTACATGGATACGGTTTCGGGCAGGCGTAATAGCTTCAGCTTGAACACGTTCATGTAATATCTCCAGTCTAAATCTTGATGGATGTCCAGATCTCGACTAATAAGTATATACAGTCTGAGACACTAAGTGAAAATACAGTTGTTTTTACTGATTATGTCATTGATTAGTCCTAGAAGATTATGATTCAAGCTTTTATCCTGTATTAAAGAATAAATCATGTATCCATACCTGCTCTAGAAGCTCTTTTATCATTTTTCTCGGACTTAGAGTAGCTTGAAGTTATGTCAATCAAGTCTTAACAGCTATTTCTTATCTACTTTTTGGTGCTGCTTTTGTGATTATAGCAGCTATATCCATGATATCTTTAACAGATTCTATAAGTTTCTAGTAGAGTATTCAAAGACTATCCACTATTCTGTAAATAGGCTAGTGGCGGCCGACGAACAAAGCCGACAATCCCGTGACCCAACAATTACAATTGAAGCAGTGAATCCGGTAAATCCTATGCAACTGACTCGACCCCTACTGTCTACCGTGCATCATCATCATCATCATCATCATCATATCCGTCATCCCAATTTATCAATTATCATTCGTTCTGGAAATCCCTGCAAGCAACCGCAATGGCGGCGGCCGATATTCCTACAAAGGCCGCCAATGTATGCCTCACCTGCAAGATTCGGAAGAAACGATGTGACAAGTCGCTGCCGAGTTGTCGCTACTGTGCTGAGTACGCTTGTTTCAAGGACACGCCCCACTAGAAACTGGATTGACTCACTGAAACCAAACCCGCCTTCAGCCATGATATACCCTGTCGCTATCAGACCCCTACGCCTATTCGAGTTCGACCGCACGCCGGTCCTGTGCTTGCTTCCTCTGCCATTGGTTCCTTTGGTACCAGTGCCTCGACAAGATCACCGCTCAATAGCCTCGCGTCCGTCCCTCAGCTCCCCAACAATGTTTTAACCCTGACCTGCACCTCTGAATCCGCACTGTACAACCAGGCTCAGCGAGTCCTCGAAACCACGGGGCTGTATCTCGATGAAATCAGCGTCCGCTACTTTCAAGGGATCCACACTTTCGTTCCCCTCGTTTCCCGACGACTATTCCACGCTCAGCTTCTCACAATCGGAGCAAAGCGCCAAACAGATTTTGCTTTGCTGGTACTCTGCATGGGACTACTTACCTATTCGGCAGAGTCGCCCGATTCTCCTCCCGCTGTGCAGCGAGGCCATCGCGTCGCAAATCAAACGCTCTACGTCGCCACCAAGTCCCTCCTAGCGCAGGCCCAAGCCGTGTGTGCGCCTTCCCTCAGGCTTATCCAGGCCGGCGTGCTGCTGGCGGTCTACGAGTATGCCAGTGGGTGTCCAGAAAAGGCCTTTGTGACGATCGGCAGCTGTGCCCGCATGGCGTATGCGGCCCGGCTCCGATCATCGCCCTCGCTGACTAGCACCGCCCCCCTACGGTCCGATTGGAATGCCGAGGAGGAGGAAGTCAATACTTGGTGGGGTATCCGTATATGTGAGCGGTATGCTTTGTCTCCTCCTCCCTCTACTTCCTCCAGTCATCCTGTTCGAGAAGAAAGAAATAGAAATAAAATCAGCCTGCTGAAAGCAACCATAGCACATTCTTATGTGAGCTCCCCGTGATAGAGCAACCGCTGGGATCGATGATGCCCACCCGCGAGGATCGTCTTCCCCTCGAATCTAGCGTTCTAGACCTAGGAAGTACGACCACGGCGCTTGCACCGCACGTCATGGTCCACGCTCTGAGCGCCCTGCAAGTGGGTGGCTTCGGCCGCGCCGCCCAAGCGGCCTGGCTGCTCGACAACGTGCTCGAAGGACTGCTGCTGACGAATCCGGAACGCAAACACGCGCATCTGACGGACTGCGACCGGTCGCTGCAGTCCTTCCTGGCGATAGTGATGCAACAAATGCAACAGCAAGCGGACAACAACTACGGCGTCTTCTGTGTTGCAATCGCGCTGACGATCCGGTGTGTCTTGCCTGCCTTACTCTTTCCTCTATTTGGCTACTTTCTCGGGGATCTAACCCGGATCTTTAGTACATTATTCCTTCTTCACTGGCACCTCCTCGAGCAACGTGCCGAAGACTCCCCCCCGGGGCTTTACAACCCTGCCAACAGTTCCCATTCGGCCTTGGATACGGTTACCAAGATGGTCATCGACATCTGCGCAACCCACGAGAATCTGTCGTTTCACCAGATCGGCCAGCTTCCTCCGAGTTGTCTGTATATCATCCGCGCGGCACTGAAACATATCAATGACTGCCAATCTGCAAGGCCCGATCCACGGCTGTATACTTCATTGAAGCAATTTGAGGCTCGGTGGGGTGCCTCGCCGGGTGGGGCCACTCGATCTCCCGTCGTTCAAGAGTGATCCCTCACTTATCCGATAGTTTCCTTGTTCCCAGCCGTCCAAGTATTGACGGACAAAATATTCATGGACAACAAATTCCCTCGTCGAGCAAACTATTCGAATTGGGCATGTCTGGGTTGGGAGTCTATAGGCCATTACTGGTGTATTCCTTTACCAAAGATATAGTGTGTAATACCTACCAACCAGGCTGTACTAAAGTTCAAAGGCAATCGAACGCGGGGGTATACCCGCGAGACCCGCCGCCGTCGGCCGCTGTCGGCCGCCGCTAACTTCCAAGTTCAAACGTAGCCCCGCCGAGTGGGGAGAAGCACGGCAAAGCCCTAAGAAAAGGATCAGAAACCTCCCCCCGCCTCCCGGCAGCACTTCATTGCATGCCCGCAGCCCGCTGCTTATTGGGGTTTAGTTCACTTTACTATAGCGCATCTCCCCTCCATTGCCTGCGGATACCAAGTGAAATGGAAAAAGTGTCACGGGGCGGGCGGGCTGGAGTAGTAGGTATAGCAGTTCGGGCTGGAAGGTCTCAATAACAGTTCTCTTTATTCTTAACTAGCTACTTGGCAGGCTATCCTCAGGTTCATAGACAAGACGTAGCTCGAAAAGCTACGACAGGGTCAGGGATAAGACGGGAGGCTGGGTAGGTTATGTTATGTGTTACGTGCAGGGCGGTCAGGTTCAGCAGTATGTTCGGGTTGGCTGGGTCGATCGGGTCCACTGGGTAAATCGGGTAGACTGGGTGTTCTAAGTCTGCACCGTGACAATAGGCACTAAGAAGAGAAATTGTCCCACCTCCCTTGTGGAAGAGAATAATACTGTGGACTCACGCTATAACAAATCCCGTCAAGACAAATTTTTGCTGTATTACAGAATTCTACAACTGCAAGATTGGTTTTATTATACAAAATCTATAGTATCGTCTGATAATAGAATTTATACAATAGTGTTTCTTTCTATACCTAATATTCGTTATATCGAACAGACGGAATTATTTAATGGAAAAAAAATCTTCAGAAGAAATTAAGAAAAGATTAGAAAATTTCTGCTTGGTCAGCATTACTCTAAAATCAGCTAAAACCATATGGAAGTCTTTTATATTCAATCGATATAATAAATATTTTAGTATAATAAACCAAGATGCCGTTTTAATTAATTCTTTACAACATGAGGCTACAGTAAACGAAAAGAGAGAGAAAAAAAAAAACTACAACACGATTTATGCTATATCATTTTCGACAATGAATTTCTCTCCCACGACGATTTGACCGAACCTCCCCCCTTGAGCCTAGTAAGTCCCGGCCATGACCGACAGACGACCACCGTCAGTAGTGAGGATTAAACCGTTGGAATAACTGCCTGCGCGGCTGGACAGGTACAGAATGGCACCGGCCATTTCCTCGTCGCCTCCGAACCGTCGGGCGGGGATGAAGCGCTGGTCATCGAATGCCTCTTCCTCGGGCTTACGGCTCGAGATGAGAACGGATGCGAGCTCCGAGGGGTAGACTAGGTAGGTACGAGAGTTAGTATGGGAACTAGAAGGAATCTCTACGAATGAAGAATAAACGTACTGCCAGGAGCAATCGCGTTGACACGGATGCCAAACTTGGCCAGCTGAGTACTGGCATGTTTTGCCACCTGCATGATGGCCACCTTGCTGGTCAGGTAGGGAGGAGACGAGGTCCAGTGACGGCTGAACGCCGAGATGCTGGTTGTGAAGATGACCTGGCTCTGGATCGAGGGCACATCGCTGCCCTCCTTCAGAGGCTTGCCAAATCCGCCGCGGAGGGCGTTCTGCGTTCCGGCATCCAGGAGCTCCAGGAAGGCGGTCATTGTGAAGAACGCGGCTGTGATGTTCAGGTTGAGCGCTTCGTTCATGCCCTGCATGGAGAAGTCGTTGAAGAGAGTCTGGCGCAGCTCCGGCAGAGACGCGGCCGGGTTGAAGCGGACGGGGGGTCCAATGCTACCGGAGTTGGCGACCACCAGGTTGACATAGCCGACCTCAGACTTGATCCGGTCCACGGCGGCCTGGAGGTCGGCCTTGGAGGTCACATCAGCTTGGTGAGGGATGACAACTCCCGGGAATTCGGCGGCGGCGCTCTCCAGGACCTCCAGGCGACGGCCCAGAATGTAAACCTTGTGAGCACCATTAGCAGCCAGCGCGCGGGTCATAGTCAGGCCAATACCTAGAGAGAAGGAATGAGTATTGGTTCACGGGTGTATATCGAATCTCGGGTCACACTCACCACTACCACCACCGGTGATGACAGCCACAATGCCATCCACCTGGAAGATGGTACTAGAGTCCACAGCCGCAGTCATGTTTACCGTTGTGAGCGAGGTTGTTTCAATGAACAGATATTGTATTTGAGAATGTCACTGAAGACCGGTAATGTGTATCGAATTGAGGCTTGACTTTCCATTGCTGAACGCAAGGAGTTTCTTATATATTCCCATCTCCTTGACCATGTGGTATGGTGTGGGTGAGTATCCTGGTCGCATCGCTACCAGGCAAGAATGGCTCAACCAGCACCATTTGGGATAAGGATGGAGGTGCTGAAGCAAAAGCTTGACCTGGTGATGGAGAGGATTACCAATCTCAGCACTGTCGGGACACTGTCGGGAGTCTCCACTCAGCGGCCGCAGTGGCGGGAAGGCGGCCGACGCTAGAGCCATCAGTGATGAGAGATTAGGGGGAGATGGTGCAATCACAATCTTGGCGTTGAATGTAATCTCAGATCTACCGGGCTGGTAGCCAGCTCTGGAAACGGATATGCCTACGCTCCAGCAGAGTCTGACAGAAAGCAAATAGTTGTCAGAGGAGCTCAAGACCGCACTCCAAACCGGGGAGATCGCCTCCTTGCGGTCTCCGCTTCCCAATCTTCTCGTCTCGCCTTTGGTCGTCGTTAGCCATTAGATCGAATACACAGCCCTTGTACAGATATCTAACCCTAACCTCACCGACGACCAGGGAGGCGGCTCTGAGATTCTATTTGTGTTACGAATGGAGAGTAGAAAAAGAAAGAAAAGCAAAAACATACAACAGAAGGGATTCGCTGGTGGTCACCCACCCAACTACTAACCTCCCGGCGTGTGGCTTGAGTACGGCTGAGCGGACGGGAAGCCCTATTTTCCACACCCTGTGGTCGTATGTGCTAGTTTGTACAGCATTTTAAACCATATACCCATTCTCTATGCATCAGTGCTATGTTCCAACAAAATACGAGTCGGATTAAGGGGAGGGGAGGAGAGAAGGACCAGACTTATGTGGCGGTTGCGATTATAGCGATTTCTGTGGGGCGAATGAGGGCGGGATTTGGTGAGTTTGGGACTAGTACCATTTATAATGTGATTATTGCTCTTTGAGATCTTCCCAGGGTACTCAGCACGTCGATATATACTCATGTTGAACGCCCGAATAGTCACCTATAAGAGAAAGCCGCTCAACATAGAAGCCAAAGGAGATGTGATCGCTCGTACCAGTGAGTTCATCCACTCGTTCGGGTCTGAGTGACCAAAGTCAGTAGAGTAGGCTGTCCATATACGCCAACGCCTCCTTTCCCTTCACAAACCACCGCTCCCAGGAGAGCTCATCTCTTGCCATCTCCCACTCGGGCAAGACCTCCTCATCCTTCGCACCCGGGTATCTAAAGCGATACTCATAGCCCTGGCCGTCAGCCCTCAGCAGACGAGCATACTGGCCCTCATGCAGGCCAGCCGGACGATACCCCGACACGTGCTTCAGCCGAAACCCCACCGTTGGATGGATGTACTCGCAAGTATGCCCGAGAATCTCGTTCGTGCACGCATCCCGAAAATAGCGACGCGGCCTGCGCGCCAGCGACCCGTTGAGGCGGTAGGTGAAGTCGAAGCTGTCGGGCAAGTCACCGGTGGCCCAGCCATACTGACGGATCTGGCGATAGGCCGGAGGAGCACCGACCGAAGGGGTGAGCGGGTGCTGAACAGCGGCAACCAGACCCTGCCCCGTACGCCACAGCCACTGGGCCCAGGATTCGGACTGCCAGCGACGCTCTTTCTTCTGGTACGCCTCCAGCGCCTCGTTGATCCGCCGCAGACGATCCGCCGCAGACGATCCTCCCGGGTCTTTTCCTCGAGCTGGAGGAGCTCGCGGTCGAGGGAAACATACCCCTGGATCTGGTCCAGCATCCACGCGAAGACGATGTGGGACATCTCTTCCATGTTGCCCTTGTTCTTGAGGGTCTGACTGGATCCACCTCCAATGTGGATGTGGAACCCCGGGAACCAGACCTGCGTTAGCTGGGATGGTTCCTTATCGCTGTCCTCACACTCCAACAGCTCGCGTGCAGCCGCGTTGCGTCGTTTCTCGGCTGCCTGCAGCTCCCCGATGCTGGCGGTGCCGCTTCTTACGAGTTTTAGCCACTGACGGGTGGCGTCGCGTGCCTGGTACTTGATCTCTCGAGATCGGCTCTCCGTGATAGTTTTCGGCGTTGGGACGAAGAACATGGCTGGGCGGAACAGTCGTCGATGCTCGTCCAGCGCCAGCGCTTGGAATGCATTCTTGATATCTGGGGTTCGAGTTCAGTATCATCTCATTCTGAATCAATGATAGCTGGAAGGAGTTGCTTACTAGGCGAAAGGCCAACATTATGCCATTCAGGCTTATCAGTCCAGGTCAGCCACGCGGGGAGCTCATGACCAAACAGCTCGGGGAAGCCCAGATTGCCCACGGTATCGAAGACCCCAACCACTTGGACTTGGCGTGATTCGGGTGTCGATGCCCATTCTGCGGCCGATTCCCAAGAAACCTCTTCTTCTTCTTCCCCATCCACCTCCCCCTCTTCTCCGCCAAAGGACGATCGGCGCCCCCTGAAAAATTCATAATACGCATCACTGCCATAGAACCGCTCCCCCGCCGGCGTCTTCTTATACACCTTCCACAGCGCCGGGAAATTGGCGATCTGATGCGGCGGGCAGATCCCGATATCCGAGATCAAGCCGGCGATTACGCGCGCGTGTAGGCGCCGCGCGAGAACCCAAAGCACAGGATCTGGTCGCCCGGATTCCAGTTCAGGGCGCAGAAGTGGTAGGCCTCGACGATGTTGCCCTCCAGCCCTTTGCCCAGGGCGCCCTCGACGAAGTTGCGGAGCGGACCCGCCGCCGTGGTGTTGGTGCCTACGCCGGAGTCGTACCAGACGATCTGCTGCCAGGGCTGGTGGTCCACGGGGTCGATCCCGACGCTGTCGATGGCGCGGCAGAGCCGGATCACGTTCGAGGGAATGCTCTCTTGGCCGTCGACGGCGGATTGCCAGGTGCCGTCGCAGCAGATGATGAGGCGCTTCCGCGCGGGTTGGGGCTTTGGGGAGGGAGGGAGGGGGCGGTGCATTTTGCTCGCTCTTTGCTTCGCTCTGCAGGCTGGGGGCAATGAAATCGGAGAATGCTCAATAGTGTTGCACAAGAGAGCTCTACACCATTTAAATTTTTTCAGGAGGGTCGAGGGGTAGGGTAGATCTACCGAGCTTGTCGCTGATGTACAGTACATTCACGTTTTGCCAGTCCGTCGCTACAAATTTCCTGCTCGGCAGAAATGACCGTCTTTTGTTCTCCGTGTCAGTGGCTGATGACCCTTTTGCATCTCAGCTGAACTGTTCTTTGTGGGTTGATTGGCAGTCATCCTCTTGAAGTCTTCTTCTTTTTCAGCTGCGGCTGGATACCCCAAGGGTTCGTGGCGCATCCTCAGCTCAGACCACGTCCGTGTCACTGTAGCCCTAAATCGGCCCCCACCCCGGATATTCGAAAGATTCTAAGAACAAGATTAAAGGTAAATAGTTGTTCCTCCAACCATGGTTACATAAAACTAGCAAGCTTGATTGTTGTACAAAAGTTGGTAACAACCTATTACAATCAAACAAGACATATCTCAGTCATCTTCCATCAATTTCGCAACGGTAACTATGTCATCCGAACAGCAATCCATAATCATCAGACGCAAGCCCGAGAGCTTACGCAATGCCTGCTTCCCACTCCAAACAGGAAGCCTCAGACCACGGATCGAAAGAACTCTTCAACCCGACCCACCAGAATCCCGATCAAAGAGTCAACAATTTCGCCTCCTTCTTATAGTGCCCACCGACAGTAGCCTCTAAGTCCAATTTAACCCACACCTCTATGCACACAGAAACCCATCCGCCAAAAGCTTCAACGGTGGCAGCACAACCACCCGATAGGGGGCTCACCTTTCCCATTCTTAAGGAAAAAACAGACCGACCCTTGTGCAAACTTGATATTGATCTTGCCGCAGATCCCACGTCTCAGATCCCCGGTGAGATTCAATAGCTTGGCCCCGAAGACGGACACTTGGACCCGGATCGCGAATTTCTTGGGATTCACGTACCCGAGCACCTATATCTATTCATTAGATTGTTCTCTCTGTCCTTTTTTTTCATGCATTTCTTATTTGCTTTCCCTTGCTAGTGAGGGGGGACAAAAAGCTATCAAACAGCTGACTACTTTGGCAGGTCCGTACGACCAGTTGATCTTGGGATACGCCTCCGCGCTCACCTCGACATCATCAGGCAAGGAGTAGACGTTTGGAAGCTGCGTGGCGACGATTGTGCGGGGTTCGTCGGGTTTGGTTTTCTCCTCTGTGATTGCCACGACGAAGCCTATACACAAGCAAAAGCCTAGTTAGTCTAGTTCTTCGGGTAGGGTTGCATCCATAGTCTTGGTTCAGTGAGAGAAGGGAGCCATGCCCGCGCGAACCTCGGCCGCCTCCGTCTTATTATCCAGGAGAAACTCCACGGCCTTGGTGTCCTCTGGTCCAACGGCCATCGGTGCGGATGCGCGAACTTCGCCTGCCTCCGTCGCCAGCACACATTGGTCGGCTTGTTCGGTCATCGTGGATTGGTTTTCCATGTTCGTGAAGGATTTGAGGGGTGCTTTCAGATTATCACTGCGATGGTATGAGAATAAACGCTCTGGGAGATGAGATCCTTCCGCGAGAACATCGTGGTCAACGTCGTGCCTTTTATATTCAATCCCATAACAAGCCAAAAGAATCCCTCACATCACAAAGGCTTAGCTAGTAACATTGACATTAGGTATCTCTTACACAAACCACGTACAAAATCCTCAGAATATGCATGAAATGCCTCAGCCTACATATCCTTCATCGTAACAACAGCCCCGACATCCTATAATAGCATTAGAATCAGCCATGCAGGCGTTGCACATTATATCTATATTCCCAGGACAAGGGGGGCAGCAGCCCTAATTCTCTGTAGTCAGGTCCCACATACCACAAGTTTTTGCTTTTGATTCCGACGACGAATTGAGATTGCTCAGAGCCATGCATCAAACCCATGAAATCTCCGAAATACTCTCCCTTCGTATACGCAGAGTCAGCATCCCCAAGTATAGGATGAGTGAAGAGGCTCATCCTTGTAGTCTAACGGTGTGACGGGAAGCGCCGCTCCGGATGTTTGCTTTTGTCGGGCCCCGCGAATCCAAGGCTCAACATGGGAAATGATAGGGCATTGGGAGTGGCTACTAGAAAGACTTCTGAGATGTGGAAGCCTGACAGAGGATGTCTCGGCGATCTGCTCAGTCACGGGTTCTCAGTTGTTCGAAGAGATCTCCTACACAGTATCAGCATGCACAAGCTGCGTCACATTCATCGCCGGAGATATTGGTTCTTGGATACACGCTACAATCAACTCAAATTGCAGCAGGGTCATGCTCAAGCTCCGAGAGCCTTCGGAGGTTGAGGCACCGCCTGGAGATCCGCTGTCATCAAGGAATGAACTACTGTCAACAAGAGGGTTGCATGACTTCCCCAAACTGTGGAAGGCCTTTCACCTATACCTACATCTGTACGATCTCAGACTGACTCTGTTTGAATGGCATGACGTCGGGCTAGGTTGCAGATGGTCAGACAAGCAGTAAGCCGCATACATTGTCCTCCCTTCTCATGAATATCACCACTGCATCTGCTCACAAGATGCCATCAAAGCAAATGAGTCTTACTCTTCAAGGTGTGCTGCATCGAACCATATCTACCATCTTTGCAGGGGAATTCTATATTCATTATTTGACTCCTTACAACCAATAACAAACCGCTTAGGCTCCACGCTGGACAGACTAGACGTTCGCTCAGAGATCAAGATTTGGTACTTCATTTGTGACAACCACCTCCCTTACATTGACCACCATCTGCTATAATCCGCTGCAGAGTCAGTGTTCTTGATAGGCAACCTATTCACCGGACCGCTCATCCAGGTATTCACCTCCTCCAAGTTCCGCACTGCAGAGAGCCTGTAAAAATCATATAGTTGAAAAGAAATGAACATGAAATAAACAAGACTGCATAAAACAGAGGGCGGGGAAAAGTCCACTCAAGCTTCCCGACCTAAACTCCGGACTTCACCTTCACGCCTCCTACCTCCTGCACCATGACAAAAAACCACCTTCCAACAACCCACCTCAGCCCAGCATAAAAGCATAGCCCCCCCCCCCCGTGGTCCACCTCAGCTGCAGCTCTGCAAGCTGCCTACCTAGTAGCCTACTACCACTCGAAGGTATCATATGAATCATGAGTATCATTCTACCCTCTCATCAGGCACACCTCATCGCATGAAAAACAAATCCCAATACCTCAACCCCTTCCCTAAGCCCCCTCCCCTCACAACCTCATAAAAGCCAAACTTCCCCCCTCAATTCCCGCGAATCAACCCCTCCAACCGCCCCTTCTCCAGAATCTCCCCCTCCGCCAACCGGCCCGTCTCGACCGTCTTCCCCTCTACAACCTCATACCGAATCACCGTCGGGATGCACGGGACCTTCCACGTCGTGCGGTAGACATTCTCCAGATCCTTCCATCTTCCCGTGGAAAATGCGAGTAATAGCACATGGTGTTAGCCGTCTTGCACCACCCAACAAACAAAATACATTAAACAATAGACAAGGGGAAATTTGTCTAGCACAACACCCCACTGTCCAGGTAAAAAAAATCACACGCAAGGCGAAAAACATACTCAGGCTTCTGCCCAACCTCGACAACAGCCAGGTGCGGGGCCTCGGCAGCGGAGAAGGCGGCGTCGAGGACCGGCCACGCGGCGCGCACGTCCGGGCACCACGACTGTCCTGTGGCCGGGTCGGGCGAGGTCACGAACGCCAGGAAGAACGGGGCGGCGGAGGAGGAGGAGGACCCCTTGGGGATTTGAAGGGCAGCCGGGGAGGCGGGTAGGGGGAACGTGGTGAGGATGGGCATGTTTTTTGGTTAGGTCTGTTTGAAGAGATTTAGAAAAGGTATGGAACTCGAAAGGTTGTGCAACCAGAAAAGTTGAGGGTGTTGTGGCAGAACGGAAAATCCCGCGATGGCGGCATTGGGCCGTTGGATTTCGTTTTCTGCCGGCATTACTTTTTTTTTCCTAGGGTGGGGGTGGGGCTGGGGTATGGTTGGCGGTGAAGGGCTGACTCTTTTTGGCGACCTGTTGCTTGGGAGGACTATTGTTCATAGGCAGTAACTATACTATACACAGTTCCGATTGGTTACTGTGCGTGTGGCTCGAGTGCTATGTACAGCTACATGTCTACGTCCAGAAGATCCATTTCATCTCAAAATAGATTTCTATTTCTTCTCATCAAGTGTGACTATGGCTGCCAACTCACCGCCCATATACTGTACCCTAGTACCCAGTCCTGGACTGCCAGTCACATGCTGGAGAAAGTACCAGGTACCTAGCCTATAAAGCATAATTCCCCCTGACGGCCTCAAGACGGAACCCCGAACCTCCGATTTCATCCCTTTTGATGATAGCAGCAAAGTGGACATATCACTGGCACCTCTACACTGTAGAAGCACTATATACAGCGGGTGAACCCGCAACGGCAATCTGCGCACCGTGCAGCGGATCCCTCTGCAGGTCTCCGAGACCTTCTACACACATTCATGCGCCTCGGCCCGTTTGTAGGCCTGGTGTAAGTGCAATGTACAACAGTGGGCCATCCAGCAGCCTGCAAAGAGCTCCCATCCACTGCCAATACCCGAGACCAACTGCTACACGGCCACTGGAGAGTGGAGACTAGATCCAGGGTTACACGGGACTCGGAGTCTATTTAAGTTCGTGCTAATATCACAAGAAGAAAGTCTATGTATTTTGATAGAACCAGATCGTTAAGAAAATCGCTAATCTCAGAAAGAAACCCCAATACAACTACCCCATTCATACACTTAGTTCCCCTCGTGCAACCGGACCGTCACGTTGTCCCCGGGAGCATTGGTCAGGCTCACCGCCATGGCAATCTCGCCCTCGGCCGTCTTGCCAACGCCCTCCATCTTGTCGAACCGTTGCAGCAAGCGCACCATCACGTAGCCGGCTTCCGTCAAGGCGAACTGCTGGCCAATGCAGATGCGGGGGCCACCGTTGAAGGGAAGGTACTCCCAGCCGGGCTTGCGGGATTCCCAGCGCTCCGGACGGAACTCATCCGCATCAGCGCCCCAGAGGTCGGGCCGGCGGTGCATCACAAAGGTGCTGTAGAAAACGGCCTGGCCCTTCTTGACATACACCGGATCCGTACCGTTGGGACCACCGCCGGTTGGGATGGTCGTGTTCTTGACGGCAATGCGACGGTTACCAGGGACGATCGAGTAGAGGCGGAGGGTTTCGTTGAGGACGTTCTGGAGGGGCTTGCAGCCTTTGAGGCCGGCAAAGGTGATTGCCTTGGGGGAAGCGTAGGAGCCGAACTCTTCGACGACGGCGGCGCGAAGGCGGGCATACTGCTCGGGGTGACGAGCAAGAAGAAGCACGCACCAGCTGAGGAGGGAAGCAGTGGTGTCACGTCCGGCGAGGAGGATGTTGAGCAGCTGGGAACGTAGTTCGACGGGATCCCGGGTCATCTCGGCAAGAGCATGGAGGAAGACGTAGTGAGAAGGCTTCTTCTCGGCATCCATGTTGAGAGCAGCATCCACGAAGCGATCGACGTAGGCGTGAACATAGTTCTCAACTTCGCGGCTTTCCTTGTTGTTGACGATCCAGTAGATCTTCTCGAAACGGGCGCGCTGTGCCGCATACCATTGACCGCGATCGAACTGAGTAGCAAAGTCATCCTGGGTCTTGCTGCCACTACGAAGAGCAGCAGCCTGGCTCTCAACGCTTTCACCGAAGAGAAACTCGGTAGCCGAGTCGAGGGTCAACCGGAAAAAGACAGTCTGAATATCGGTGGGTTCGGTCCAGCCAGTAGCATCCACGGGCATGAGGCGCATAGCCTGCTGTACGTGCCGCTCCTCCAGATCCAGATCACTGATCTGGTCGCGGGTGAATTGGGGCCGCAGAAGTCCGCGGGAGCGGGTCCAATATTCGCCATCGGCAGTGAACTAAACAATGGTGGCCTACGTTAGTCTCAAATGAAAGAGTTCGGTGAGATCAGTGGACATACGATTCCATTGCCCAAGAGCGAGTGAAAAGCGTTGCGGCGGGGAGTGCCAAGCTCAAAATCCTTGAATTGGTGAGCAAGGACGGCCTGGACATTCTTGGGTTCACATGTCAAGATGATATCTTGTCCCAGCTGGCGGAACTGGAAAGTGGTGGTGTAGCGGTTCTGGCTGGCAGACATTTTCTCGATACGGTGACGCGACAAATAAGGCAGGTTACGGTCCTTGTCATAGCGAAGGGCTTCCTTGAGAGTATTGGTTCCGAGCCAGTCTCCAGGGTAATGTGGAATGGAACCACAATTCCAGCGGCGAGCGTTCTGAGCATGTTGCCAGCGAAGCAGTAGTGTCCAGAGGACATAAAGAATGGCGGCGACAGCCGTTATCGTAAGGACGACAGACATAATGGGCGATCGGTGGTCAGTCAGTCACCGATGGGGTTATTACAAGCGGAGGGAGGCGTGGAAGAAAATTGGCGGGGAGAGGAATCAGTCCAGCATGGGAGACGATGCTGAAATATATCGAATGTCAATTGGTGAGAGGGTCCATAAAAAAGATACGTCTTGACCGCGATCGGGGGGGCTGGCACGCGGGGTGAATGCCAGAAAGAAAGAATGAACCGAGGCCTAGGCGACAAGTCGGTCGAGACTTGCGGGCATCACAGGTAGAGTTACAAGATTTGAATGATTAGTCGTGCAGATAGGGTGGAGTCGATGGCAGGCCCGAGGAACAGGATGTGCAACTCCAGAGTGTACAAGGCAGGACTGGCATGATATAATGCGCACGAACGGGGGGGCTCCCACCCGTCTCAAGCCGACGGCGAAGTCCTAGGCTCATGTGGCGTCGGCGGATCGGCGGGTGGGCGCAGAGCTAAAACAAACGGCCGGAGCAGAGGCTGTAAGCAGTAGTCGCTCATCTATTGTATCTGCTGACGGGGGCCCAAGTCTGACCATTGAGGGCTTGACAAAAAGATGAAATGCAGTGATGCAGACGTGTCAGCCATTCTGAGCGGGCCAAAGAACGGGGTGGCTCCGTTGGTGGCTGTTTGCAGTGCTCCACATTGCTCCGCCGGAATCAGACATCGAGCGAGTCTTGTCTCTGGACAGTGGAAAATTAGACTATGCTGCTTGTATTGCTGACGTTACTGATGCACTCGTGCTGACTTAAGAAGAAGATCTTGGAGTCATGCGCAGCGAGGATTGGAAGAAGCGACGTGAGGTAATGATGCAAGGAGGTGGAAGCCACATGATACACGATGATGTTGACGATTAGCTGCTGATCGAGGAAGGGGAAAGGAAAGGGTGAAGAGCCCTGCTGACTCACCACAGTATTCAAACCTTAGGTAGCTCTGAGGCACAACTTAGCCCTTTCTCTTTCCGGACTAGCTCTCCGTCGGGAAGCCGGCCAATCCAACTTCGGAGATTATGCTCTTTGACTGCGATGACGGAGACGTTGCCTGCTTGGGCGAACTCATCCACGGCTCATTCCGTCGATCGGTATCGCACTTTTTGGAACCTGGTTCAGGAGAGATCCAGTTGAAGCGATTGTTGGGGCCTCGCCACTCGGTGAAGACCGAGAAGTGTTATGAATCTCGGACATTACCTATAGAAAGTAAATATACTGTGTATACTTGATGAGTGTCAAATGTTGTCAGTGCGTATGTACTGTCTATTGTAAATATCTACTGTAACTACCACACGCTCTATGAAACCGTGTCGTCAACATCATTATCACGAGTCATCATATCATCAACTCCACAATCACAGCTACCACCACTAAACCTTTCGTCGCACTAACCCGCGGAAGAAATCGAAGCTGTTGCTGTCGCTCTGTAGCTGCCACACGCGACCCGTCGGTCGGTCATCCCAGCCCAGCTCCTGCGCCAACAACAGTCCATAATCTCGAGTGATGCCCTGGATGCGAGCCCGCGCTCCTCCGGCCTCCTCCAGGGTGACAACTTGGTGCATGTGCAGCCAGTCCGCATAGTACTGATCCTCGAACTCTCGATCGAAGCCCGTCCGTAGAAACCGTCCGTACAATTCCTCAAATGTCGTCAGAATCCGTGCCAGCAGCTTCTCCAGCGTGATGGGGGCCGCTTTCGGCCCCAAAAATCGTTTCGCCAATGCCGTCAGCGACGTGGTGGGGGATGCGTTGGTCGCGTTGACCCCAATGCCTACCACCGAGATGTACTCGTTGGCGCAGTAGTGCGAATTCACCAGGATTCCGCAAATCTTCGAGTATTGTTGTTTCTCGGGGTGCTCCGGGTCAAGCGCGTCTGCAGGTTATCAGCAATGATGATACTAACAAAAATCCGATAGGAGAGATGGGTACATACACACGTCGTTGGGCCACTTCATCTTGACCGGCATGGCGTCGTAGCCTTCGTCGTACCGCTTGATACCCTGCACCACGGCCATCGCAGCCAAATATTGAATGAACACCACTGGGGCCGATTGAATCTTCTCCATTGGGTGTCGCAACACTGTCGAGAAGATCAAAGCCCCTGCAGGCGAGACCCAGACATTGGAGCCTCGACCCCGCCCAGCGACCTGGGTGGTGGCCGTAGCGGTGAAGCCGGTGGGCAGTGTGCGCAGCAGTTTCGGGTTTCTGACCGGTCAGTCATGTGAGCTGTCACAGAGTCGATCTCAAACTCAAACTTACTTTTCCAAAATCGTATTCGTACTGGTGACTACTTCCCCGTATACCAGGTTGGAGCCGAATTCAGAGGCACCCTCTTGGGATTGTCCCTGGTACTGGCGCAGGTGCGAATAAAAAGCATGGTGGTTGAAGTAGGGTGTCAGCTTGGAGGATGGCACATCGTCATGGATCACCAATCGCTTGACGATCGCGTTGTAATCCACAATACCTTCCGTCGGGGTCGCCGTCGGCGTCTCCGACAAGGCGGGAAGCGAGGCCTCCAACTCACCCAGGTTCCAAGTTCCGGGGCGCTCGATGCGGAATGTATCATTCTCATCCTTAAGAACTTCCTTATCACCATCCTTGGTGATATGCTCATCCCACAAGGTCACAAGGTTGGCCGTATCCGTAGGCTCCTGAGCTGACAGGTGCAGCGAGGAGAGCGAAGGCACCGTCGTCGTTGTTTGGCTCACTTGCAGACCCAGTTTAACTAGGCAGGCTTTCAAAAAGTCGGTGCGACCGGTATCATCGGCCGCGAGAGCATCGACGACTTTCGCATAGTCCGCACCTCCGTTCTTCTTATCCAGGTTGACGGCTGCAAACCTAAGTAGAAGAGAAAGCGCTGTTAGTTTCATGACCTGATCTGACCATCCTTTCAAAGAATGTAATTCGGCGCTACTTACTCTGGATGGGGACTCGTGAGGATGGCGGCACCTTCACCCACGCGACAGTAGACCACGGCCGCGGCGCCACCCTCACCGGGGTCAACATTGACCTCCTCGGTATAGCTGGCCAGCACCTCGACACCTCGATCGGCATACTGCGCTGCATCAACGAAAACACCCCCACCATTGTAGTAGCACCGGAACTGCTCCGGAACCACGCCCGCCCGCAAAGCGTCCTTGGCCACCTTCACCTCGGCGGCGCGGGCGCCGGCCTCACTGTGGTAGACAAATCCGGGGAAGGCACCCCCGCGACAGGTGCCGGGGAAAAAGGCCAGCTCGCGCTCGCCGATCACCTGCAGGGTTTTATCGCCGACCTCGAACTCACACCGGCGGCAGCCGTAGTAACCCCCCGCACAGAAACCGAGGTAGGCGCCCCCACGCTTGACGAATTGTTCGATGCGACGGTTTCCGGCACCGTTGAGGGCACGACAGTAGCCCATATCGGCACCGCCGGGGAAGACGAGACATGCACATGTCAGGGTCCAGGGTTCGTGGAGGAGCATGTCGGCGGTGACAGGGATAACGGCGTAGTGAGGGGCCAGTAGGCGGCGGAGGGAGTAAAGGCAGTGGCGGACGGACTCAACGGTGGTGCCATTTCCTAGGAGGCGAATACGTCAGTGTCTGCGGGATTAAATGAAGCGAGCAAAGAAATACGTACCGGAGTAGACAAGAACGTTGACCTTTTTCCCGGTCAGGTTGGGGGTTGTCGTCGCCATGGCGGAGGAACGGTTCAACCGTGCAACTTTCGGGTCTCGGAAGTTTCTCTTCGCAACTGCAACTCTCCGGTCGAAGAGCAGCTACAGAACAAACAATGACGAACAAGGAAGAGAGACAGAATCCCCCGGTTGAGAACGCGGCGGAGGACGATGATGAGCCAGACGAGTGGTGAGTGTGAAGAGGAGAAGAGAAAGAAGAGGGAAAGGAAGTGGGAGAGAGAGTTAACTCGGACTGACGGCGAATCCGACAGGGAGAAGCGGATCAACAGAACCGGCTGTGCGGGTGAGTCAAGAAGAGTCACCCACAGCCATTGACCTGGCGGTCTATCAACAAGAGATTTACTAAGTCATGATACAGACGAGCAGATGACCTTGAACGATTGCGTCTATCAGAAGAAGGACTGGCGCAGTTGCCAGAAGGAGGTGCGTTGAGTCCGGCTGCGGAGGCCATATACCCTCACATTGGGCGGAGCCTAGATGAGCTCTATGAGATACTGTCCAACATTATCTTGACCATCACTCATCCTATGCGACCTCAAACCCTCGCACCCAACGATCGAATTCCCTATGTATGACCGCTAACTCGACCTCAGATGGAAGCCTTCCGCGAATGCTGGAAACAGCAGGGCAACGACCAGCGCACGCAGACGCAGGATGCTTAGGAACCAGGGGTGGCCTGGCCGACGATGATTCCAGCAGTGTACTCTAAAGACTTCCAGTTAAAGTGATCTATAACCAAATCGCAACTCCCCCGGCTTCCTCACAAATCCAGTGTATTCCCACTCCACACCGCAGTATCGTCACGTGACTGTATCCCGACATTGCCTTTCCGCAGCTCAGCTTCTCTACCTCCGCACTCACTCATCTCTCTACTCCAAATCTCAATTCCCCCATCCCACCCTCTCATCACCCACAATGTCCCTCCCAACCCTCGCGCGTACTCTGCGCATGACGGCGCCCACAAAATCCACATCCCTAACGCGTCTCCCCACATCCACCACCCTCAACATCGCGCGCACCTTCACCACAACCCGCCACCACCAAGCAACCCAACCATCAGTAGCACGCACGAGACCCAACACCTCCACCTCCAACAACAACAGCAGCAGCAGCAGCAGCAGCAGCAACAACAACACCAACACCACCAATGCCACTCAACAAACCCCCTCAAACCAGCCCCAAAAAATCACCCCCAACCTAACAACCTCGGGCCTGCACGACCACCCGCCCTCCCCGCTCCCCACCCCCAGCGACTCGCCGCACCACCAAACCGAAGACCGAATCGACTGGACGCGCTCTTTCCACGGCCTATCCGCGGAGCCCTTCCCCAAAGAAGCAGCCGACATCCTCCTCGCCCCGACCGACCCCGAGGAAGTCGAGATCAAGCCGGACGGGATTTTGTATCTGCCGGAGATCAAATACCGACGGATCCTGAACCGGGCGTTCGGACCGGGCGGGTGGGGGCTCGTGCCGCGGAGCGAGAGTATCGTGACGCCTAAAATGGTGACGCGGGAGTATGCGCTGGTTTGTCATGGGCGGTGAGTTGCCTTTCCTCCCCCGCACCCCCCAGAGAATAACAGGGTTGGGTTTGGGATGATGCGGATGCTGACGTTTTGCTCTCTGGTGGACAGTCTCGTTTCCGTCGCCCGCGGCGAACAGGATTACTTCTCGCCGGACGGGATCCCCACGGCCACGGAGGGGTGCCGCTCCAACGCCCTGGTGCGCTGCTGCAAGGATCTGGGCATCGCCAGCGAGCTCTGGGATCCCCGGTGGATCCGCAAGTACAAGGCCCAGTACACCCGCGAGGCCTTCGTCGAGCACGTGGTCAACAAGCGCAAGTCCAAGATCTGGGTCCGCAAGGACGATGAGGTCTCGTACCCTTGGAAGGAGACGAAATAGGTTCGTGTTTCTTTTTGGAGGGGGTAATAAACCCTTTTCTCCTCTTCTCGTGTTCTCGGGTTTCGGGGGAGGTGTTTACTGTATGTATTATGGATTGTATAATAGACTTATGGATGGTAGAACGAAAGGCGGGTGAAATAACAATATCCCTTCAGATGATATTATCATACTATTTACCTGCGTAAACCACATCGGTTCTTGTCAAATACACATAACATATCAGCTAAAGTCAGTCTTTTGCTTCTTGGGGAATAGATCTTTGATAATAATACAGAATTCACGCCATTCCCTTCCCCCTATGGTGGAATCGAATTCAATCGTCACTCGTGATCACACTTTATTCTAGTTTGCTTGCGTCTTTCGGTATCTCTTTGTTTGTGCTTGTTCTTGTGTCTTCATTCTTATTGACCCTCATACGGGTTCCGCCGCGGGGGGTATGCCCGAGGCTGATGCTCCTCTGCCGACTCGCCTGAATAGGCCGTCCGCGACGAAGCCAGTGTGTGTGACGAATACTCCCGTTGGCCCTCGGCTGACGGCTCCGCCATCGACGGGAGCTCAAAGGGCTGGTTGGGGTCGTACGACTCCTCGGCGGGATTGTAGTACTGGCCCTGGTAGCTGTAATATTCCGGCTGGCGCGCGACCGAGAACCCGTTCACAGCTGCAGCTGCTGCACCGGCTTGTTGGGTCTGGGCTTGCTGGTTCTGCTCAGAGACTAACCGCACGGGCTGCTGCTGCTGTTGCTGTTGTTGCTGCTCCTGTTGCCGCCGAGGAGGCACCGGCTCAGACAGGACTGGCACACCACCCGTGGCGGTCGAGATGATGTTAGCGGTGCCCTCCTTACGCCGGCCCGTCGACTGTTCGCGCGTCATCGAGCCGTAGTTGACGCTCCGCGTGCGCTCCTGGCCGGGCGACCCGGCTGGGGTTTGATACGTGTCGACTTCCTGGCCATCACGGGAGCTTGGGTACGTGCGGTCGGCGTGCTCGGCACTGAGTCCCTCGCTGTAGGAGCTGACGGACGCACCAACTCCACGACGTTGGATGGAACCCGGCGACTGGCCCATGTCAAAGCCGGTAGAGCGCGACTCGGTCGTGGCGAAGCTAGAATCCGGGGGAAGGCGTCGAACAGGCTCGGCGGACGAGGCGGAGTCGCGTCTGGCGCGCTTGACCACATCCTCGACAATGATTTCAGGGGTGTCCTCCAGCTTGTCCTCGGGCTTCTCCTCATCGTCGCCACCACCGGATCCTGGCTTGCGGATCGGCACCCGGCGTACCGCGGCGATCAATGCACACATGAACTTCGAGCGACGTGTCGCGCGGACTGCTTCGTTCGACCAGTTGGACTTGTGCCGGATATACACGCTCAACTCCAACTTATCCATGTCACCGACGCCGCTAACATCGATGGTGATGTCGGGCTGGAAGTCACGCGAGTTGTCCTTGTCGCGCACGAATCCCTCCAGCTCCTCGCGGAGGCGCTGGATGTTCTGGAACGTCGTGTCAAAATCGATGGGAACCTTCAGGACCTCGTGCATGGCGTTCGCACGGGTGAAGTTGTCTACCCACAAGCCGTTGAGAACCGAGTTGGGAATCTGCGTGATACGGTGGTCGTTGACGTTGCGAAACACGGTGAAGAGGAGGGAGATGCGCTCGACGAAGAAGGGCTTGTCACTGATTTCCACACGGTCACCCACGTCGAAGGGGTGCTTGACGAAGAGGAAGATACACGAGCCCAGCACTTCCTGGGCCGTAGTGGAGAAGACGAAAGAAAGGGAGAGCAGAGAAGTGGCACCTGCTGCAATGACCGTGCCAAATCCAGTCGTCACGAACGAGACAAAGACCAGAACACCCACGATGAATGCCACGGTCATCAAGAGGTTGTCCAAGACTCGAGTGGCCTGGTCAATGTCATGCAAACTGTGGTTCAGAGCCTTTTTGTTGCGCTGGACTTCTCCAACCGCCAAGATCATCTCGTCCAAGCTGATATCGCCGTTACCGTCGCGGTCGAGCATTTTCATGCATTCATCCGCCTCAACTTCCAACCCCGTGCCGAGAACCTCACAAATATCTTCGAAATACAAGGCATCCCGGCCCTCGACCACGAACGACATCCAGATTCTGCGCGCGAGGGCTTCCGAGGTTCTGCGGTGCTCCAATGCCCCTGTCACGATCGAGCGCGTGGAGGTGTTGTTGAAAACTTGCTTGCCAGTAAGTTCTTGGGCGACATCACCAAAGGCACCTTTGACCTTGCCACCGATTCTCTGAACATTATGGCCAATTTTCTGAACGTTCTGACCAACTCCGCGAATGAGACGGAGAGGAGCTGAGCCGCTGGTGGGTATGCGTGTCTTGCTCGCGGGGTTTTGTAGCAGGAAGTCCGCAATGGCGGCGTCCTCCTCTCGGAATTCCTTGCAGTGCATGGGAAACATCTGACGAGACGCGTCATACAAGAGACCGATAAGGTAGACATTCCGCTTCCCTTCTTTAATGCGTGCATCAAACTGCTTCCGATGGTAGCTGATGGAGATCAAATGCACGAGTGCCTTCTCGCCCAAGAAGATCAAACTGCAAACGAAAAGAGCGAAAAGGATATTCTTGATCGACTTCTCCCATGACTTGGTCGAAGTGTCGTTGATCTTCTTCTGGTGGGGATTTTGCGTCATAACCTGGACGAAGGCTCAGTCAGCTTGTGGTAAGGCCCAGTGGTCGAAAGGAGCGTCTCTTACTGGCAAAAATGTCACCAAGCAAACCACACACCACAGGACGGTGGCGATCGGAAATTCGAGCTTTCGTAAGATAAGAGCATACTTGCGGGTTCCGGAGCTAACAAATCCACACAATGTTTGAAAGACGTAGGGAATGATCCGAGCTGCGAGCTTGCATGCCCACAAACTGATCCAGACAATTTCAAACCAGAAGAAGAACCAAGGAAGAGTCACTCCGCCGATGGTCGCGTCCTGCGCGGCCGTGGCTCCTACAATAATCGGAACGGCGAGTAATAAAGCGAGCGGTATCACGTAGATCAGGTAGCGGGTAGCGATTGAGTAGTTGAGGACCGCCTGGTAGAAGCGGCCGACACGAGTGATGGTACCATCTTCGGGTTCATCGATAGAACGGCCAGTGGACTCGTCGATTCGCCTGCGCAAACCGGGATTTGGTGCGACGAGTCCCTGCTTTTCTTCGCTATTATCGACCGGTGGTTGATAAGGGCCCGGGGAGTCGGGTCCGTTGACGCTCGACTTACGAGCGCCTGTTTGACCGCGACTGGAGACTGAGTGCAGCGGGATATCGATTGTAACATCATTAGGGTTCAGCATATTGTCGGGAGCCATGTCGCGAAGCTGGTGGAAGCGTTTGGCGGACAACCGCTTCTCCGTAATGCCAGGCCTTCCTGACATCAGGGCGGCCGGACGGGGGGAGGGCGATATAAGAACGATCGACTAGGGTGAGGAGTCCAGAAGCTGCCCGGCAGCCCCAGTGCGTAAGCGCAAGCGCAATTGGCGGGAGGGGGTGAATCCCAAGCGATTCCCACCAGAGGCAAAGCAGGAACCAACGATCAATGGCAGAAAACGAGTGTGCTGAGTCCACCGGTTCGTGTGGAGTTGATGGTGGGTCGGATGGTGTAAATTGAGGAGACCGCGTGGATTGGACCAGCGATCGGCAGTCTGTCGAGGGAATCAACAATTCCGAAGCGAGTGGTTTAATTGTGATTACTGCCCAGGCTGAGACCGAAAAGTGAGCGAGCGAACGAGTGAAAAGACAGAGCCGGTCGGGGAAAGAAAGTAAGAGGAGAAATCAATAACGAGAGGTGAGACTTGAACGGGGTTGAAACCGACACAAAGGACCGACCCCAGGCCAGGCGACAGATAAGAAGGCGGAATGTCAACAAGTGCATGCGACTTGTCAGAAAATCCCCCCAAATGTCCGGCCAAGTCAAAAAAAAAAATGAAAGAGAATAAAAATAAAAAATAAAAATAAAAATAAGAATTGAAGCAAAAAGATGGAAACCCACGCGGACCATGTTTCAGTTTTTCCCGATGTGTAGAATGGAAGACTAAGAGAGGGCCCTGAAGTCATGGTTGTGCAATTGGAGGGGGCGTTGAAAGAGGGAGAAAGGAATCTGTCGATCATTCTTGAACCACATTGTTGCTGTCGGACTGGCAACTCAAATATTGACCATTGCTGGTCACTCTGCCTATTCCCTCGATCTTTGTTGCATCAATTTCAAATAAAGCCATCTCCTCCGGCTTGATGAATAGATTGATCGCATCCGATCGATGCAGAAATGGACAGAGTCATGGAGATATGGTAGCCCCCACTTGAGAAGTGGTGGCGGTGGGAGAAAAGCGAAGTTGAAAAACAAGTGGAAACGAAACTCTGAACCTTGAAGCTGAATGATTTGATTGCCTGCAGTGCTCCTGAAAAGAAACCCCCAGAAGGACCCAAACAGGCAACGGTCATCCCCTCCACCAATCAAGCCTCTACCCAGCCCGGCCCTAATCCCTCGTCCTGATCAGGGCCAGACTTAGGGCTTATCTTGGTGTTGTTTAGTCTCCTAGTCTGAGTCCCCCGCCCCACCCAAGAGAACGCCACTGGTGTTTTCCCACTGCAACCCAGGGGATTCCCTCCGCCGCCCCCTCAGGTACGGTCGGGGCGTGAATGGACAATTCCTTCAAGATTAAGGATGCCTGACATTCTACATCTTACACGGGATAGAAACCACATACTCAGTCACAATTCAGGAAATTCTCTCCTCTTCACCTTGGCTCTCCCATCGACAAAGGGCCTAACCAAGGGATCTGGGCCTGTCACTCGAAACCATAAAAGTCCCGGTCTAGGCTCAGCACGGTGCCGTGTGCGTGTGTGTGCGGCACGGCTCCTTGTAAGGCTGGGCGAGGGCTTCAGCTCGACGCCCCTTAATCTCAGGGTCAAACTCGCCTCTCCTGAAACGGGATGCACACTGTCATATTTACTGTACGCAGTGGCCGCTGGCTAGCTGCATGAGCCTTTGGAAGGAGGGGGCTTAGTTCCAATAGGGATCAGTTAGCGGTCTCTTCCCATCTCATGTAAACTTTATTCCGTTTCGGGCAATGCAGTATCCAGAGTGTGAGTTCATAAAGGCATCACAAGCCTAGACAAAAAGGACGATATCATTCAGCATCATCATTCCCAAGACCCAGTCTTTTTTTTAAGATCTCCCTATCGAGATCCGAGGGAGAGAGATAGAGTGCCTGTCCACTGTGTCGATCTACGAGTATAATGTTCCCTGATATTGACCCGTCTGGAGTCTTCTCCGCATTGCTTTGTTTCTAAAGATAGAGAGGCATGACATTATCATGACCACATGGTCGGCCGAGTTGTGCATAACTTGAGCACAATCTGAGGGTGACTCCGTCAACGACTTCTTTTTCTATCAGATGATGCCAACATCCAGACGTCACCATTGTTGGGTTCATGCTGTACCCAATGCCAGTGTAAGACATACAGCTCATTTTTGAGACGCCTCCTAAGGATCAGGTGTGTTGGGTGTGGTGTTTGAGAAGCCCGGGAGGGATTTACGGTCTACGGGCAATATTATCATCATCGTAACTATGCAGTAACAACGCACGGCTATCAGGGTCTATGGGCTTTTCGACAGTTCGGTTAGATTGGGTCCCCTACTGCCACGATGTAAGGCTGGGGTATCTTGGACGTCCTTTGCGACCCAGGCACATATACAAGCGCTTCTGGTCTGTATAGAAACAGACTCTACTCAGAGTAAGAGGACTCCGTACATGTCAATCTCACTGGCGAGCAACGACCGACTGACCTGTCACTTCTGGGATGTCTGTTTGCTTCACCGCCGTCGTGAGTTGGCCAACCTCAACTTCCAGGCCTCTACTGCTCACAGACGATCAACAGCCAGCGCGATCACTGTTCCCAACACGCGTGGTGTCTATAGCCTTCTGGGTGCGAGTCTGAGAGTGGATTTGCGCGATCGTGCAACAAATGTACGATGGGGGCTGCACCAGCTCGCCTAGTTGAAGCATTTCCCCCAGTCCGTGTAAACACCGTTGCCAGCAAACATGGGACCGAGAGCGGTAGACGGGTAAAAGCGATTTTTAATGCGTCAACGCATCAGGGTAGCAAGACGATGGTTCTGGTAATGGTAATAGAGAGGTGAAGGGTGCGCTCGGCAAACGGAAAGCACCTCATTCCCATTTCATCAGAGATGGACGGAGTAGAAGCAAAAAGAGATGACAAGAGTGGGATTCGAACCCACGCCACTTGCGTGACTAGGAATACTGCTCAGAAGAGCGAATATATGTGATCAGGTTGCCTGACCCTAGCGCCTTAGACCGCTCGGCCATCTTGCCCGGTTGTTGAAGAAAGCAACCTAGTAAGCACACATGTTCCCCAACCAGGTATACAATGCCTTGAACTACTACTCTGATGCTTGGACGCCGGCCGTCGAACACGGGCTAGTCTTGCTTACTTGGTCTGATCATGGCTGTGCGCTGAGTTGAAGGCACAACGTCTCATGCAATTAACCCGCCTCACTTGAATAGGCAGGCTGTAGGACGATACATAGCACTATTGACTGGCGGTTGGCGGATGGATTCGCAATTGAACTACGGGTAATCATATTAAGTCGCACCCGCTCTACCTTCGGCGCAACTCCGAGGGCGTGTGCCGCATACTCGATCTGTCGCTGTCAACGACACGATGAGGTCATAGCCGTATGCACGACCCGATGCAACGCATCTCGCTTGGATGCACGTCCGATGAGTGAGAGGGTCTGCGTCCAGAAACCGGACAGGAAAAAAAAAAAAGGGGGGGCAAACTCAAAATCGGACCGCAGTGGGGTGTCTGGCGTGGCAGGGCGGGAATGGCCGACACTTTGCTATGGTAGTCGTATGCAGGTGCAGGACAGTGGCAAAACGAAGTAAAGCAACGCGATGGTATGTGGGTTGATGAGTAGGGCAAAAGTATTCGAGTGGATAGGTGCAAAAGGTAATGACAAGAGTGGGATTCGAACCCACGCCACTTGCGTGACTAGGAATATTGCTCGGAAGAGCGAATATATGTGATCAGGTTGCCTGACCCTAGCGCCTTAGACCGCTCGGCCATCTTGCCTTGGATGCTGATTGGAAGTGTTGGTGGCTCTATGCACGGCGAGAAACAGGAGGCATGTCGCTAGGTGCTTTCGGTTCGCAGACCGTTCTGGCTATTGCATGGTACCCTACTATCAAACTCCAAGGTGTCAGATAAATAGGTTTCTGGGATCCTTGTTGTGGTATTCGCACGCTGCAACAATTCCAGTAACCCCAACATCGTGTGGCCGAGCCTCTGCTTGCAGCCTTGTGTCATGGGTGATGGTCATCGCAACTCTGTGGGAAGGCAGCCATTTGCCGGTGTATTGATGCACATCTCGGGCTATTCATTGCTGCATTTGGGTTCGTGGCTCTTGAGGGCTCGGCTTGATTTTCAGTGTGCTTGAGACTAGTCTAACCGGAGAGGTTTGTTGGCTCTTGGCAGCCATTGCGCTCGGTGTATACCAACATGCTGGTGCTTGTTGGCGTATGGTGGTATACTATTGGGTCTGGTTGTCGGTGTCTTGCCGTGGTCGGTGTTCCATGGCCTGTGTGGTACCTCGCATGACACACTGTGCGTGATCCTTTTGTATGTGGTATTTGATACATGCCTCTGCTTGTGGCTCGTGTCCTTGTATGGCTATCGGTCTCCGGTGTTCAGGTACCATGGAAACGCAGTGGGTTTTGTTCTCGCTGAAAATGGCAGGGGATCTGTCAAGTCTTACTTGTCATTGTTTTCATATGCACTCGCCTGGTGCGGCCCTTATGGTTGGTTTCCCCCTGTCCCCCCCCTGGCTACCCGATATATCTCGCGGTTGTCTCGTCATGGTTGTTGGGGCCAGGACGTATAGGTGATTGCTGGGGATGTTCTGTGGTTTCGTCTGGGGTGTGGTTCGTGCTTTTTGATGCTAACCGGGGGTGGCTTTGCTTTCCAGTTCTTATTGTACGTGTTGACTTGTTGTGGCTGTTTGTTTTCATGGATGGTGGTCTGGTCGGCCGGGAGGCTATGCCTTCTAGTAACTATAGCATCCAGCCCGAAACAATATATAACCACAACGCAATGCACCACTTCAGTCCACCACCACCCAACACCCCACAAGGATAACTTATACTTACTACAAAGAACAAGTCGGCAAGCCCAAGTACTATTTCACAACACTCAGCGAATACCTCCAGCACAACCACCCCAGCACCTCAACTCCAAACTCACACATAAATGATTTTGGAATGCGCCGGACTAGCTTGCTTTCTACATTTAGCAGAGGTTGTGAGCTCTTTTCATCAAATAGGCAAGATGGCCGAGCGGTCTAAGGCGCTAGGGTCAGGCAACCTGATCACACATATTCGCTCTATCCGAGCAATATTCCTAGTCACGCAAGTGGCGTGGGTTCGAATCCCACTCTTGTCATTACTTTTTGCACCTATTCACTCGAATACTTTTGCCCTACTCACGTAGCGGGAGAATCACGTACGCCGTAGGGGAACGGAGGGGGTGAGATACATTTTGTTCACCCGTCGACTGCGCACAAACCCGTTGCCTACCCAGCGACACGGCACTGCCTTTTGATTTCCTGCTAAAAGTTGAACCCCCTTTTCGCTATATCAATCTAATCTAATCTGATATTTCGATCAAACCAACGGAGCTCACTTTTATGCAATCCCTGCTGCACCGAAGGGTCCACACCCCCCCCCTCCGCTCTCCACCGGCACCGTGTGCATCCGCATCGGAGATCGGAGGGTGAAATGAGGTCCCATGCCCGAGGACCCTTGTTTGGTGCGATTCTGCAGCTGGGATGTGTTCGACCATATAATATACATCATAAGTTAAAACCAGCGCCGATGATGCTGTAGTCGTGGGATCTGATCAAGACCGACGCGACGGTCTCATGCCTGCCTACGAGTGGCCAAGGATTTTTTTTTTCTCTTCAGATAATGGCCCCATTACAAGTCGAGCGCCACGCGGTTACGGTAATCATTCAATTAGCGATTAGACTGCGGGTGAGGCACAGCGGACGGATTCTGCGTAGGCTCATCGCTTCATTACACATGTATACATCATTAATACGGGAACGACAGATCGGGGAGCGGCTCATCCAAGCGCCACCCGGCGTTGCCCGCAGGAGGCGCGAAGTGCCCACCGGCCTCAACGGCGCCCGGGACCGGCTGCATCGAGGAGAGATACATCATCGGCGCCGCAGCGCCCCCGACGGCCGGCATTTCCCTCACGGCGTCCGCCCTTCCAGCCGGGTCGTCCGCATACCATGGCTCCATGTAAGCCGGGGCACCACCGGGAACCAGCGAGGGCAACATCCCAGGCGGCTGTGCGCCGGGCACACCTGCCGCCGTGGAGGTCGGGGGCGGGAAGATCCCGCGCAGGTACGAGGGATTCTCGGAGGAATAGCCCGCCAGCCGTCGTTGGAGCTGTTCGTACCACTCGCGGTTCTTGACGGCCACGACGTGGTACCATTTGCTCGGGACGCGGAATTTCTGGTTATCGCAGGCTTCCGATAGGGCATGTGATAGGCGATCCAAGTATTCGTCGACATTAATCATCTGTGGAGTGATAACCTCGCTCAGAGGGCCGAGCTGGGTCATGTGGTAGATACGCAGAAGGGAGGAGACCCCTAAGATCATCCGCGTGTAGGTCATATTTGGTAGCTTGCGCAGGGTCGGAATGTCGCATTGCAGGAAGACGTCGAGAAGTTGCTGGGCAGAGAGCACCCATTTCGTGATGATCTGTACCCGCGCCGCGCTGATCGGCACATTGGCCCTATGTCGCTCCGTGTCGCCCTCGAGAGGGGGCAGTGTGTAATACCTGCGGGTTGCTGCGTCGGGGTCACGGTAGCCCTCGCCCGCAGCTTGTTCATGAATCGCAAGGTAAAGGTAGTGGTATTCAAGATCCATCCAAGCTAGAGAGAATGAGTGTCTGGTGATATATCATTAACCGCGGACGTGGATACGTACTCGTGAACATATCCTTCGGAATCGACATCTTCCACTGCAGCATACGAGTGTCGAACCACTTGAGGATCGGCAACATCTGCGATTCCAACATCTGAGTGTCCGTCAGAGTGTTGTCATGACCTGCAGCAGCCAGTGTCTCATCCATTATCCTCTGCAGCCCGAACCATGCTGCCAGTTGCTGGTCCAAAGCACTGGTAGAGACACTAAGATGCTTGACATAACCGCCGATGACAGCATTGTGGCAGAGCATGTTCGGTCGACGTGTCTGCATGCTAACACTGTAGACAAGTCAGTAACTCAGACAGTAAAATGCTGGTGAGCGAGTGGCCCATACTTTGATGCGAAATGATAGCAGCCGAGGACGGCCCGGGCCTGGTCACTATGTACTGATGGGGGCAATTCCCCCTCACCCGCATGGCAGCGTTGAGTCTTGCGACCAACGGCACCGGCTGCGATCCCAAGCTCTAGCGCCATAGTGGTTGCGATATGCGTGTATTGATAATACTGCCCATGCATAGCTGATTTGGGAGGGAGGTAGTAGATAAGCATTACGAGGAGGGCTTGTACCAAATCTAGTGACTTCTCCTGCCTTAGAAAGAATCGCGTCGCGAAGCCGGCGAGAAGTTCTTCATGTAGGACGGTCGCGTGCGGTGTTTCAAGCGTTAGCGACGCTGCTGCGATGATGGACAGGAACAGCACTGGCTTCGTCCTGCGTAGGAAGTCGGCACTCGTGTCCCCCGGAAGAACAACCACCGGAAAGAATTGAGTGAGTTCAGAGATGAAGACAGACAGCAGCATCTGTGCCGTCTCCAAAGAGATAATACCACGGTCGACGACATCTGCAGAGCCGGGCGAAGAGCTCATGAATGTCGAGCCAGTGGTGCTGACATGGGAAGGGGGGTTGGCAACCGGGCTTGTCACGATCGGGCGAGGAGGACAAGATGATGAGGCAGTCGGTAAACGGGCAGAGTCGGAGATGACGGATGCAAAAGGTGTTATTGTTGTTGTTGTTGTTGTTGTTGCCGCCGCGCAAGTGGGAGCCGTCTCTGAGACGGGACTTGCAGTGGTGGCGGTAGCGGCGGAGGCGGCAGCAGCAGTGTCGGCGGCGGTGGTGGTGGGGGAAAGGGAGACAGCAGCGGCAACGGTGTCAACGCCGGCTGAATTCGATCTTTGATTCGGGGCATTCTGCTCGTGGAGTAAAGCGCGCAGGTCGCGGACATCTTTCTCCAGCTGAGCGACCCGTGATCCGGTCTTTTTTCGAGGCTGGCGTCGCAGGGTGTGCGCAAAAACACAGATTCGTCTGGTGCGGGTGCAACGTTGGCATTGATGCGCAATATTCGGATCCGGCAGGCAGCGGACTTTGAGGGCTCGACAATTTTCACACGACTGGTTCAAGGGCGGCGTTGGACCTGAGGGATGATCCGGACGGGCAGCAGCAGACATGATGCGCGCAAGGTGCAAGAGTTCGCTCAGGACGGTGCCTGCAACTCTGCATTGATAAGTTATTTATTAGACTTGCGTAGTGCCAAGACCAGTAGTGGAGGTTCGCTTGTCTGTGGGGAGTCAGCAGGTGCAGATCAACATCCCTGGCGAGGCCCAAGGGATTGTGGCAAGCATTACCATAGAGTAAGAGCCAGCGGCTCATGCTCATATGGAAGCTCAAGGCTGCCCTCACCCAAAATGTAATCGTGCTAGACCATGGGCAGAAGGGGGTTCATAAAGGCTCAAAGGCTTCAAGGACACTTGTGGTGTGGGCCTCTGCAAAAGCAAGCAAGCAGGCACGCAGGCACGCAAAGGTGTAAGGTGCAGTCTAGCCAGTGGATCGAGAGAGCTCGGTGGGCCCAACGGAAAAATAAAGCGTCGGAGGTCGGTGGTCGATTTCCCACCCGAACCTCCGACAGGGACTGACTGCCCTTAAATTAGCCGGCGGAGGCCCAGGCTCTCAGGGTGATGATGTCTGAACGGCTGCAAGTCAGGTCCTGGGAGGCACAAGTGGTGCAAAGCACAGCTTATCGCTACATGCCGAGTAGTACTGGGCCTTCAGTGCATTCAATCGAGATTGAAGGGCGACTGGTTGCTGGGGAAAGAACAGGGGAAGTGTGGAAGTGTGGAAGTGTGGAAGGATGTGGAAGTGTGGGCAAAAAAGCGGGCTGCGGGCGCGGGAAGTTCAATTCAATTCATGCCTGAGGTGTCATAATGCACATTGACTCCCCAACCTCCGACCCATTACTGAGCTGATTTCTGCATGCTTTGCCTGACAACAACGGTCTTTAGAATTCTAGATTAAAAAGGACAAGCTATTACATGCTACACCCTTTAGTGACTGACTTTATTATTATGTTCCTCTCCGTTGATCGAAAAAGCCATGCTGATGTTGAAAATAAATTCCACTTCTTAGTCATCCCGTCTTCGAATTATCCACACCACGGCAGCTTTAAAGCGTCGCCGGGTTCACCATGCAGTAGTCCAAATTATGAACACTCGTGTCGGGATTACCGGTCCAGGTACTGACTCGATTAGCCGGTCAATGTCACTCAAAACCAGGCTCTGGGACCAACTTACGGGAAAGGGTGCGAAGTGCCACTGCCTCCGAAGACAGCAAAAGTAAGGATGAAGACACAGATCTGCGTCCCGCCATCTAGAGCAGCGGAGACAATGTAGTTATACTTGTTGAAAAGGTGCGGGTGGTAGCGACGCAGCCAGAACTGAGCAGCGAAGCCAAGAGCGAAATAGACCGGAATGGAGGCGTTGATGCCCACGAACAGCCAGCCCATGTACCACAGAATGATCGAGGTATTGAGGTAGGAGAAGATGCCGGACGGGTAGAAGCGGTTCGCCAGCCAGAATGGAACAGGCACGGCGAAGCCGACCAGGTAGGAGATCGTGACCCATTGGTACCGGCCACCGATGGAGAACATGTCCTTGGCCATACTCCAGGCAATCGCAAGGCTGTTGAACTGGTAAACTGAGATCAGCCGGGTTCCTCTTTGTCTGGGAAGCCAGAAGGGCACTTATCTGAACATTGGCACCGCTCCAGATATTGGTACCGTCTTCGGAGAGCAGGATTTCCGATTGATTTTGTACGATGCTTCAGGACGGCAGGTCAGTACACACATGGAAATCGTAACCGTGGACTAGAATGGGGTCGCACATCAACATCATCACATAATTGAATAGGGCCCCGATAATGCACCCGCTGACTTGCACGAAAAAGGTGCACCGTGGGGATAAGTGGACCTGCTGCGCAAGTCGTAGGTCCTTGGCTAAAACCTGCCCCTGCTGGAGAGAGTTATACGTAAAGCAAGTGAAATAGAGGTCTGAGGACGCATTAGCAACGAGCAAAGGTGGAGAGTGCACCCGGGGAGACACATACTGGCCAATGGCTTGCCAGGGAACATATAGCCCGCCAACATCTGACAGATTGGCTGCACATTGAATTGGAATCCGGTCAGCCCATATTGGGCGCCGAAGAAGAGCATGAAAAGAAGCGTGAGCAAGTTGGCGATGATGAACCCCCACCAGGGGAGCGTGGACTTCATGGCATACAGACAGCCCATACCGACGGCGAAACTGCCAAGGAGCACTGCTCCCCACCACCAGAGCGGCGTGTCATAGTACAAGTTGCGCAGCATGAGCCGGTAGTGTGGGTCCAGAGAAGTGTCGTTCACGCGACGCTGCAACCGCTCCTCCGGGGTCTCCTGATTCGCCCAGAACTTGTATGTCTCAGGCTTGAGCCACTTCTTGAGTTGGCTCGGTGCAGCCCACGCCCAGCCCACCTTGATATCGTCGAAGTTCCATAGTAACATATGCGTCAATGTAGCAGTTAGACCCATATTCGATGTGATCAGGTAGGCGACGTAAGTGCCGGTCAGCCAGGGCAGGCCTTGCTCTTGCAGGGCTTGAGGATCAACAGTATAGTCCGCATTGAGGATGAGGGTTTGATTGTAGGCATTGTAGTTTGTGGAGTTTGAGTCACCATAGTAAAGCAGCTGAGACAGGAACGGGAAGTCCTGCGAGCGCCAGATGTTACCATAGTACACACCCATGAAAAGCACAATGCACCCTATGTAGCCAATAAGGTTGTTGGTCAGGTAGTAGAGCGGAACCCAAAGTGGCGAACCAAGAGATGCTATATAGTTCCAGTCAAAACAAAGGGAGAGGAATCCCAGCCCTTCGTTTCCAGAGGCACCACCAAACAGATTAGTGAATACCAGATTGTGCTGGCTGGCCAAGCAGAAGATGGAGACACCCTCCAAAACAGGGAAGATGTATTCGGGGATGATCGTCCAGACGAAAAGCGCCCCGAAGAAGATATAGAAGATCTTCAGTTTTGCCTTCGCCTCTTGCTTGTCCTTGTGTATGGACTCGAGAAGAGTAGTGATGGGCAACGTCATGGGCCAGATCATCTTGGTCGGGCGCACGATCACATCGCGCAGAAGACCCGCAATCCCGAATCCGATCAGCTGGGAGGAGAGGACGATGAAAATAGCCGCGGCATGGTTGGGATAGCCACCGTAGAAAAGCTGTTGGGCCGAAAGTGCTTCAGTGGCCAGTGCAGACTGAGTGGCGGCCGAGGACATCAGGGCAATAGCAGCGTGTTCTTTGGCATTGAACGGCCCGGGGTTCAACAGGCGTCCGATCACACCGCGACGGGGAATGGCATACGCCATGGCTTCTCCCAAGATATAAGCAATGACGGTTAGGAACACTTGGGAGACGTAGATGGTCTGCGGCTTGAAGTAAAAGATCTCCTGCAGCACACCACCAAAGATAGACAATCCAGCCCCTGTATGAGATTAGTCATAGACGCCGCCTGGCCTTTTGCAATGCTACAGACATACCCAGAAAAACCATCCGGAAACTCCAAGGGTTGAGGGAGGGATCATCCTCGACCTTGATGATCTGGGTGACTAGATCCGCCGCGGTGTTCACCACCTGGTCGCTCTCGAAGCCTTGATCCTCGTCCGCGGGGAACGTTTCTCCCTTCTCGAGGATCCTGGGCTCCATCGAAGATTGATCGTTTCCAGACTTCTCCTCATACTTGTCAGTCAGCCCCTCGTCTATCGAGAGCCCTGCCTGTTTGATCTCCATGGTTGCAAGAATGGGAGATGTGCGTCCTTGCACCAGCACCCATGACAGATGGAGTTCCCAACTTATATGAACCAAGGGGGCCCTCACACCCTTAGAACCGGCCGACCGGCTCGTATTACAGTGGCGGAGGATTAATTTGCAGCTGATAAGCGAACCATACCTTGCTATTTGCTAAGTTATCGTCCAATGCCTAGCTCCGGCGCAACGCGGCATGCAGCATCAGTATCGAGGCTAAGCATCGGCTAAGCATTTTTAGTGGCGCTACCCGAGGGGACTAGCTGATAAGGACCCTGCTCGGTTACAGTAGGCCTAACGTAAAGACTTCTGAGATGTTGATAGTCTCGTCTCGGATTGGGCGCGATAAGACACCCCGCCATTTTGGTGGGGGCATCAACAAAATCCTTTCTCGCACTCCGTCGGACTTGCGCAGGGGGTTGTCGGGTCGTCGGGTCCAAGCGACACCCCAGGGTACTAGATATCAGAACGGTAGGTACCGGTCTCCCCACAGGTTGTCGGGTCACTCAAATCATTTTTGGGTCGGGGGTTCAGGGATATTCCCCATGGTGCATACCGTGAAAACAATAGCTGCCA